TGAATGGCAAAAATATGCTCCATCACCAAAAGATACTTCACGGATTAGTTATGGTAAAATTTCACGTCCGAACTGCGTACATATGTGTGATTTATTGCGCCTTACAAATGATATCGTTAATAAAAAGACATATAAATGGGCACTCACTATTATAGACGTTGTATCACGTTTTAAATGTGCTGTTCCTCTTACATCGAAAAATAGCTCAGAGGTTGCCAAAGCCTTCAAAAAAATTTATAATGATCCATCAAATCCACTTGTATGACCAACACTTCTACAATGCGACCAAGGGCGTGAATTTATGGGTGAGATGAGTAAAATAATGGAAGAACATAATGTAATGATTAGATTAATTGATGCATATAGTCATCGGGGTCTAGCAATTGTAGACAGTTTCTGTAAGACGCTTGCAAAAATGCTTTATAAAATTCAGTATGCTGTGGAATCAATATTTGAAAATCCTAAATTAATAAGAGAGTGGGTTAAGTATTTGCCAGAAGTTATTAATTATTTAAATAATTATTCAACACGTCTTATTAGAGCTCCTGGATTCTCGAAGTGGGGGTTAACACCAATAAAAGCCATCAAATTAGAAAAGGTTGAATCTCGGCCATCCACAAAATATAAACGTCCTGTTGGAAAGGATGAGAAGAATAAGTTAAAGAAGGGTGATAATGTTCGTTATCTGCTTGCTAATGCGGAGTGGGAAGGAGGTATGGAAATGACACGTCGTGCGACTGACCCAGTATTTTCACCTTCTATTTATAAAATCCTCAAAATCGTGATAACGAAGAACGAACCAGTTTTATATTATCTCGGAGATGATGACGATGAATATGCTCCAAAGCATGGATTTGTAAGAGAGGAACTCTTATATGTGAATATTAATACGCTTCAGTATCCATCCCAGAGTATATTGGAAGAAAATACTCGTTCCAGGTCTGTTAATTTCGTTCGTATTATTAATAAAATGGCTAAAGCTGTCGCATATGCTGAAAAACGTGGTGGTAAGTGTCTTGGTAAAACTGGCCATATAAATGGGTTCGATATATATCTCTGGTCTTGCGAAAATGGACTCCATCAGTGGGAAGCGCCTTATAAAATTCAGAAGTAGAAATTCGAATGGTGCCCACTATGTTTTCATCACACTAATGAGCAAAGATGTAGATATATTTTTGAGGATCTGTTAGATAAGAAATTTCCATCTTGTAAACTGTCATTTTTGAATGGGATGCAATTAGATGGGTATAACGAAGAACTAAAATTAGCATGGGAGTATAATGGAGTCCAATATTTTTATCGCAATAGTTTATATCACAAAAATCAAGGTAACTTAGATTCACAAAGGGCACGTGATCAAAAAAAGCGGAATATATGCAAGGAACAAGGTATAGATCTCATATTAGTACCATTTGACTCAGATTTATTTCCCTATATCAAAAGTGAATTGCAAGAGAGGGGTTATTTATCTCATAAAGAATAAATTTACAAAGATAACTATGACATATAATAAACTTCATCCACTTACCTTGCCTGAACTTTTAACCAAAATTTTCTCATATTTTGCCATTAATATTTTAATAAGTAAAAATCCTAATATTATTATTCCTGGCTGGAATCCGGCAGATATAAATAATGAGTCAGATACAGATAGACCCGAAAGGTCATTGCAAAGCAATAATTTATCAGAATAAGAAATCGTATGATATATATTCAATATAGATACTTTATATCTACAAAACAATAATTAGTATTACTTAGCTTGATCGATATGAAAATAGAAAAGCTCGACCCAGTTGAGAAGATTGTTTTGAATATTGACGAATACGAAAATATAGAGAGATTTAACGGCCTTAATTTGACACCCCAATGGTCTTTTACATTACTAGTAAGTGGGCGAACTAGATCAGGGAAAACCAATGAAGTTATTAACCTTTTACTTGGAAATAAAATGTATCGATTGTTTAATGGGAAAAAAGGTGGAACGAGATATATTAAGAATGACGATTTGGTTTTGGTTGGACATCATATTAATGAGCCGAAATACAAATATCTGAAATATTGTTATGAAATAATTGCAAATAGTCCAAAACCATATTGTGAAGATATTACGTTCCGAGCAATGAAGCCTGATAAAATGCCAAAAATTAACAATTTCTCTCCTAAAAGAGGAATAGTAGTTGTATTCGAAGATTTATGTACTGAGCCTAAAAAAATACAAGATAAAATTGCTCCGTATTTTAGTGAAGGGCGACATGCTAATATCAGTTCAATATATATAACACAAAGCTTTTTTGACTGTCCTAAACTAATAAGAAAAAATCTCGATTATATTGTTCTCTTTAATGGCAGTGGAACATATGATAAACTAGTTAACATTGCCTGATGATATACAAAAAAATGGCGCAATGTTGTTGATATACTTGATAAAAATCTACAAGATAGAGAATTTATTGTTATCGATTTAACTAGAGCAAAAGAAGACCCTCTATATATAAGAAAAGGTTGGGATCAAGTGATCGATCTTTCTAATAAGTAGGCTCGAAGAGCCATTGCTTCGCAATAGAGCGTGACTTCAGATATTCTAGAAATTTTTCTGCCTCTTGCAATTCTATCTTCTTTTCTTCAACCTCAGATCGCAATTTCTTATTGGCTTTAACTCGCTCTTCATGCTCCATAGTAATTTCTCGCATAAATTTACCAAAAGTTTTTACATTATGTTCCAATAATTGCTGACATAAAACATTGACCTCTTTCTTAACCAGACGATTGATTTCCTCCTCATTTACAAAGCAAGGGCATTTATGTACCTGATCACATGTACAAATCGGGACAGTATCTTGGGTTTGGGATTCTTGGTTAACCATGTCTATATGTGTCTTGACACTAGCTTCGCTATTATATATGTGTGATAAATTTTCAAGTGGTGAAGGACTTCGACGTTGACGTTCTTTTTTCTTATTATAAACTATAATTTCATGTTGCAAAAAATCTTCAATACTTGGATCTATACCACATGCTTCTAATTCTGTCAGTGGATTGTGCTTTCTCATAGTTAAGCGTCTCCATGCTTCTTCCACTAGTGAGGGAGGTAGTTGCTGTACCAGATCTGTATATGCTTGATTGAATCTCATTTATATACACTGAGTTAAAAATTCTGTCGAATTCTATAGAATTCAGAAAAAAAAAGTAAATTGGTTAATAATTCAACCGTTAATCACATATTGATCACACTCGATTATTATATAATCATTAATATAATGATAACAAACAAAAAAATTGCTATTAATCATCACGAAATAGCAGTGAATAAAAGTCTAAAGTACTAGCCCTCAAGGAATACCTTAGGTGGTTTTATTTTAAATAGTTATATATATGATAAGTTACATAATTAATAAATCGAATAAATAAATATATAGGTATTAGATAAGTTATGCATTGTTAATTTGTCGCATTTCTTCTCGAACAATCCATAAGAGTTTGTAATGCTCAACTAACTGTGTAGCACACATGCCTTCAGGTTTGTAGAAGATCTCTAGCCATTTTTGTTGTATAACTTTTACAGCTCGAATCTTTTTACCAACTTCTCTTGCACGTTCGAGCTTTTTGATAGCATTCTGTACCCATAATTCATATCGACGAATTGCTTCTTTTTCGAAATACGAGTTAGCTTCAGATTTACTTTTAAGTTCCATATAGTCTTTATGACTAATATCGCAATAAGCATTTCCAGTACAATTTGTACTCCAATGCTCATCCATGAAATGAGGAAACCAATACTCATAACCACTTCCTATTTTAGAATAAACAAGCTTATTACACGAATAACATATTGCTATATTTATACCTACAGAATGACCAAGATCACCTTCATATAAATATTCCATTTTCCTGGCGATAAGATATCGCTTTTTGTCATCAGTCAAACGATTATTATTCTTATAATTCGTCAACTGATCCCAGATTCATTTCATCCAATCAGATGGAGTTTCACTTTTATGGATTACTGGAAATCGACAGTTATCTCTCCATTCAGTATCGCTCAAAACTGGGTATTTATCTGTATAGACCATATTTAACGATTAAGTTATTGTTAATATTTTTTGGGATTATGGGGTTATATTGAATTTAGGGATTTAGACCTATTAGATTTGATTTGATATATATGATTAAAACCAGATTCAATTTTAGTGTAATTGGATTCTTGGACCAAGATCTAACTCAAGGTTATTTTCTACATATTGATATTTCGAATGTTTTTATGTACAACCTATAAAACTGCATAATATTATAGATATAGTTAAGCTGGATATGGTTACACATAGTATAGATTTCGTTGGATTTGATTTCATACCGAAAAATATGGGACATATATCTTTAGAACTATGAAAAGTTTTTACAGTTATATTACTGATGCAATTCTCTAGATAGCCATTATCAAAGGAAGTAGAGAACAGAGTATAGTCCAAATCATCAGACTCTTTAGAAACAAGTCTGTAACTCATGTATATTGACAGAATGAGTTTTTGAACTATATTTTCGTGTTTGCTTATGCCAGATAGTATATTTTGTATATATGTGTCGGGAGAGGATAAATCCAAAGTATTTGTAATATTTTTGTGATGTAGTAGAAGAAAGTATGAAACAGTAAAGTCTCTTGAGTTCAAGCATTGGTATTTATATAGCAGAGCTAGTGTCAAGACACTTAAAATCAACTGTGTAGATATTATCTGGTTATGAAACAACCTCCGTGAATGAAAATCTATTTCGAACATGTAGAATCTATTTTAGGTATGAAATCTATTTCGGGTAGGTGGGATCTATTTCGGGTGTATTACTATGTGGTAGATAATCAATATACTGGTAATGGAACATACAATAATACGATTGACATTTCCGGGTCAGAGATATGCGTAACGCGTGAAAAAATTCAAGGATTTACCACTAGCACCTGTTATTATAATCGATTAGGGTGAGGTGTAGAAAAAAATATATAACCACTATGTACTGATATTCAGTAAGATATGTATTACTAGAGATGATTGCAGGCACGAAGTGTCATTTCTCTGAAATAAGCAATCATAGTTAAAAATCTCATCTGACAAAGCTCTCTGGGGAACAGGACCTGCACTTAATGTTATAAGAATCATTTATGTATCTAGCAATTATAAACCCTTTACTATGTTCCTGCTTACATGTCGGACACGCTCCCAAACTATCAAATGTATAACTGTCACTACGGGGATTACTATGTCGTAATGATAGGTAAGAATGGTCTTTCAATATCGTGTTGATATAGGAAGCGCGATCACTGTATGGCGTGATCTTTCTGGGATAAGACAAGATTTTTTCGGAATGAACCATCTCAATTTTCTTGGTAATGGGTTTCGTAATGGTTTTTGAGATCACATGATTTTGATCGTTTCCCAGGGAAACGGTTTTTGAAGTTACTTGATTTATGTGTCTTGGCACTAGCTCTGCTATAATGTTTTGAATTTGTGTATTGGTTAATTTTGAAATATCATTTGCACTGCAGATAACATACTTAACTTTATCAATTCCAACTCCGTTTTCCCCAAATAGCTTACGAATTTTTCTGGCCCTAAGAGTCTTAATTCGCAAGGCAACTGATATAACACCTGGTAGATGTTCTAACATCTCTTTGTATATTTGGGTTCTTGCAGTTTTATCGCTAACTCCTGTCTTATGTCGAATTTCCATAACTTTATTCTCAAAATTATCTGAATAGTGAATCCAGGATAAAATTTCTTCATGTCCAGATCGTATAGCTTTTCTAAACAAATTGATTAAGCTTTGTGTTGTGATTTTAGATGATTTTTCATGACTCAAAGAGTCTGGCTCTGTCCATTATTCACGATGTCTTCGGGAGGTATTACTATAGGATCAGGTATAGCAATAAGCATACCATTCCATAAATCTCGTATTAAATCTAATTTTATATTTTGATTTTTAGTAAGCTCAATTTCATCAGAATCGTCAAGATCCTCAGTTGGTAAAGAAGTATTCGTGATTATTTTTTGCTGATCATTTCCCTGGGAAACGGTTTTTATATCACATAATAAATTATTATCCGAAGATAAGTTTCGATCTCGAAATTTCTTCTCCCTAATGCTCTGAATTATCTCTTTACTAACCTGTTCCTTATATATCAAATCCAGGAATTTGTTTTCTTCTTTCTCTTCCAATGATATGGTTTCCATGGAGATAGGAGATGTGGAGGTCTCTAATTTTTGTTGTGTATCAGAATTGCTGGAGGCAGTCACAAAGTGGCTAGAATTTGGAGTAATATCAGATATATTAGATGCCGAAGCATTCTCAGTTTGTAAGTCTATAACATCAGAATTTGAAGCAATATCAGATATTTCAGATGACTCACGGAGTGGGGATGCTATCGCATCTGGAGCATCAAGAGTATCGTTGAAATTTATCGGAGATTGCGAATCATCTTTTGTAGAAATACCTTTTTCTCCCTGCTCTAATACGGCGAGTCTAGTCTCAAGCTCTATATTCTTTTGCTCTAGTTCCCCAACTCTGGCATCGCGCTTTGTATTCTCTTCTATAACCTGCCTTAGCTTCACGTTTTCAGCCTCGACCTCAGCATATTTCTTTCTAAGCTCATCATTCTCAGCTACAAGCTTGAAAATTCGTTCTTCTAATGAATTGACTTTGGATTGTTCGCTTGCCATTTTTTATATAAAATACGGATATATTTAATTCTTTATCGTGTTAATGTAAATCGTGTGATGAATTTCAACGAATGATGTTCGTCAAAAACTGCCAAGAAATTTTATTTGAATCGATTGTTTCCCTGGGAAATGGTTTTTTTGCCAAGAAAAAATAAACACAATTGATATATTTGCAAAAATCTTTATTTAACTCGTGATGATCAGACCCTCTTTGAGGTATCAGACGACTACCCAATCAATTGATAATGTGTTATTCTATATCGGGATAATCGTTACATAATCTATTTCAGGACCTATTTCGGGTGTATTACAAGCATATTATTTAATTTTCCAGCGATAGGGATGTACGACACCCACCATTTGAGATCACCCGGTCCGAGATAGACAAATCTGAGATATGCAAATCCGAGGCATACGTATTCAGTTAATTATACTACTTTTACGTGAAAAAAGTAAATGAACGTCCATAGATTTATACCGTTAAAACATGGTTGAAACAATGTTGAAGTGTGGTTGGAAAAGCAATAAATTATACAATAGCGGAGCTAGTACCAAGCACATATATCTTAATATAATCACGGATGTATGGTTAAAGTATGGTTAAAGTACTGTCGAAGTACTATTAAAATACATAAGATACACTTATAAAAGCAACAAAATCCCACCTTCTTGCAGTCTATTTATTATATTCATTGTCGGGATAAATGTCGTAAAAATGGTTGAATGGACCGATGCTCAAATACGTATCCTCATCGATGAGCGTAGAAATAGAAATGAAGAATATCATAATTTTGGAAGAAATCGAATCGGATTTTGGGATAGCATCGCAACCAAAATTAATCAAGAACATAATACGAGCTTTAATGGACACCAATATAAAGAAAAGTTTATGAATCTTGTTCGGGATTACAATGTAAGTATGATATATTAAGGCTCGAAGATTTTTTGCTTACATCTTAGCTATTATGGCTAATAATTTATGTCAATTAGTTGATGTGCGATTATATGGCAGGGAATCGAAGAGCACGAAGAAGTCGAACGGGTGCGCGATATTTTAATGAATTCCGTACACATTTTTGGGAAAGACCTGAAGACGATTTTGATAGAATCCGCAACATTAATAGTTCTAATCGTAGACAACGTAGAATTGGGGGAAATAATACACCCGCACCATCTACTGGAGAAGTTGAACATGAATTAGGCCAAACATTGCCAGGTAATCGAAGAAGCCGAAGAACTTCCATTGATAGTCGAAGAAGTCGAAGAAGTCGTAGACGGTCAGCATCTCCATCTCCACCCCGTGATGCAATAAATACTAATACAAACAATCCTAGTGTGGAAAATCCTGAACAAAATATTGATCATGCTGGCTCTACTGAAACATCATCTCTTCAACCACCACCACCACCTTATGAGGCCACAGATGAAGCACGAAATAATTCTTCAGAAATGAATCAGAGCCAAGTTGTTTCTAACCGTGAAGTAGTTGTCTCTGGTAATATAACCTTGTCTCAAAACGACAGTAATGTTAGTATGTATGATGTGGAAGATAGTCAAACATTTCCTAATATGGAAACAATAAATGAATAGATTGGATAAATATTTTTTTTATTTAATAAAAACAGTATAGTTATCGCTGTATACATGTATGTGGGTAATATCACGTGACTTTAGCGCTGAATTTTTGCCAAGAAAAAATAAAAATTTGCGGGACATAATTTTTTGGAAAAATGCTGATATATCTAGATAAATTGATTGTGTAACACAGATGTTCGATCAGGCAAGTAGTGCCATTACTTCGTAATACACATCACATGAATACCAAAGAAGAAAATCGAAGGTCATGGAACTTCTACATGTATGATGTAATCGTATGACCTGCTGATTGCTACGACAGAATAAATTAGAAGGTCGTGGAACTTTTCATGCATGATGTAATCGTGTAACTCATTAATTGTTGCCACAAATTCCAAATCCGATTGTCCAACTCATGACATATGTATTTTCTTTGTGAAAAGTTTTTTCATCGTGCATTTGCATCGCTTCAGTTCCACATTCCCTAAATCTACCATTCCCATACCTAAATGAGACCAGAAATGAGCGGAGGGAACGTTTTAAAAGGGCAGTATATCCACGTTATATTTGTTCATCGCTTTCAGTGATTTTGTCCAGCTAAATTCTTCCCTATACACTAACATATTCTTTATATCAACCACTACATAAAAATGACTACTAATACTGCGTTATTTGAAAAAGTTTATAATTTTCTCCGTGATTCCCCTTTAGAACATATCACTGCAGTTTCCATAGTCAATCAAGTGATAGAAGAAGAGCCGTGGTTTCCAAAGGAAGATTCGAGACAATTAATATATAATGCGATTGTTTCTATAAAAAATCTGTATGGAGAGAATTCTGGGAAATATAAGAAACTCATTGAAATTTCGTTTAAGGTTGGTATTTTACTCTCAGATCTTATTTTTATCGCCATATGATGAATAGTGCAGAATCTTGATAACCGGATTGGATAGATATCCAGAGCCTGCAAACACAGGTTTAATCAGTAATGTATTAATCCTTAGACGCATGGTGATATTTTCTTGATCTTGGTTTGAGACAATAATTATAAACAAATTATGTGAGTTATCATCTATGTGCTGGCCACGCATAGTTGATGATTTTACATAATAAAATCTGATGGGTGTGCGCACATATTTTATGTTAGGAATAAGTTTATCTAGGATCAACTAATTATAACTTATTTTCTGCACTAGTTTGATGACGCTTTCGAAGGGGTGTGTAGTCTTCGAGATATTGATTTGGCGAAATGGGATGAACAGGTATCCACTGAGGAGATTGCAACGAATTTGCGGAAACTAAAGCTGAATCTTGGTAATAGTACAGCCCCATACGCTAAAAAATTGCTCAAATATCTTAAAAAAATTAAACCTTCTGACCTTTCATGGAGAGATCCTGAAGCAAGTCAAGTAATTAGTAGCGATTCAGAAATTATACGGCGTTTATCTGAGGAGGTGGAAGATGAATATAACCATTATATGGAGCCAGTAAAACGTATGGAGGGAACAACTCCTCTTCGTATTAAAGATGTGTGTAATGGGTTTGTGATGAGCTATAATAATACCATGTATGAGGGGGTGCCTATTGAGCTTTCACATGGAAATTGGGAAGAGTCGGAAGAAGATATTGTAGGGATAGCATCTGGAATACTTGATACAATGTTAATATAATACATTTTTATTTTGGCACCACTTTATGCTAGCTCCGCTAAAAAATTATTTTTGTTATCGAAACTAGAGAAAGTATTTGGAGAAATCCAGCGTTTGGGGAGAAGTTCGCAAAATCTCAAAATGAAGGGACATATGTAACGGATATTATAGTCCCTGTAGTGAAAGCTTCATTGGAAAAACTACCAATAAAGAGTTTCGCCTTCGTTAGCACGTAAGTATGATATTATTTACTTTTTTTCGAGTAATCGGTATTTATTTACTTTACTTATGTAGAGCGGAACGACAAAGTATAGCAAGTAAAGATCGAAAAGGAAAGACTGGCAAGCGCCCCGATATTATGTTCATGGTAAAGTGTGGGAGAAAAATCTACGAATTAATGTTTGCCGAATGTTCTCGTCTTTTTTGTGATAAAGATAAGAAAGAAAATGATTGGGTGAAGTTATGGAGAGAAATGAATGATGGCATGTATTGGGTGCACAAAGGTTGTAAGCCAAAAAAAGACGAGTTCGGAATTATTGGGATACAAGTTGCCAGACAAAAGTTTCACCTGTACGTTCTCATTCGGGGTAGAGATGGAGTAGATAAACTTTTTAGACTACGTTCGGTGGATATTCCAGTACAATTCACAGATAGGGATACTGTATATAATTTTGTGAAGGCGCTGTTGCTATTACGGGTATGGAGTTATTTATGCGTGCTCTCTATATAATAGAGTATACCTATATACCTAACTTTCTCTTTTTTATAGAAAATTCTAATCGTTAACCTATCATTGCTATTAAATGCGGATCGTGGTTTACGTGAAGATAAAGAAGATAGTTCGACAGTATCATCACCCCCATATGACGATTAGATTTTCATTATCTATACTATATTTATTCGACATATTTTTGATATATCAATAAAGGTGCTGTACTTCGTGCGATATATTTTTCGGACACATGATCGAATATCGAGTTGTACACCCTATATAGTTACAACGGGAAATTAATTATATGCTTGTAATACATCCCGAAATAGATTATGTAACGATTATCCCAAATATAGTACAACGCATTATCAATAAACCAACTATCTCTATCGCTCGGCCATGTATGTTCCACGAGACACGGAGTGTCATTTCTCTGAAATACTTCTATATCGATCCTACCCGTGATGTGATTGGTTGATAAATTTCTGACCGTTAACAGTTTTTAATTATTCTGATTGGATGGATCACTACTCTGGAGAATAGGCCCTATTACGAAGCTTATTTTTACGATGTTTTCGGATAGGAGAAACAACCTTTTTCTTTTTAACATGAACACGATTCTTTCAGGATTTTATTGGGTCGAGATCATACCAGTCTGAATTCGTGGATTCTGAATCGGAGCTGGATGAATCAGTCTTTGTCTCAGATTTGTTGTGAAATATTTCATGACGTTTCTTTCATTGCTTATTATTACAAAGCAATAACCCTTTGGATCCATCTCTATTATTTGAGAGAATTTTGTTAATTATATTCATAACCTCCTCTTGAGCTAGACCAGGTTTAGATTCCATTGATTTAGATAAGTTATTTTTACTAGAGCTGGCTTTGTTAAATTCTTCATCAATTAACGGGATGCTCATACTATCTATTACAATTTTAGCATTCGGATTAAAACGCATCTTTACTTCGTGCGTCCATAACCAACTCTGACCCAATACCAGATCGAATGTTGGATTCTTGCGAATCTCAAAGTTTATTACATCAGTGTTATCCAAGCTATGGT